CTTTGCTATTGTGCTACTCGGAAAACGGTGTAGCTGGATAAGGTGTCTCAGACCTATAATCCCAACGCTCTGAGAGCCTGAGGCAGGAAGATGGTAAGTCTGAGCCAGGACGGTCTGGCGAGATCCTGTCTCAAACTAAAACATAAAAAAGGCTGGGAATGTAGCTCAGCGTGAAAGCCCCACATTCAATCCTTGGTACCAGAAGGAAAAAAAAACAAGAAAAGAAAACACCATCACGGTATTCTTTCAATGGGTGACTTGTCAAGCAGAACACTTTTGTGTGCTCATTAGCCAGTGTTTTCTCTTTTGGACACTAATAATTACTTTTCCCTTTCCACTATGACGACCACGACGACGACGATGATGATGATATGTTCACTCATTTACTCAGCAGATATTTATGGGCCAAATACTGTGTTTTGCTTTGCTTTGCTTGCAGTCACGGAGAGCAAAGCCAGGGCGCTGGGCACGCTAGGCAAGGGCTCCACCGCTAGCTGTCCCCGCGCCCCGAACACTTCTGAACGCTGAGCGTCACTGGGTGCCCTCATGGAGCGTACGTTCCAGTGGAGGAAGAAGCAAACAGTGAAGGTGTCAGAGAGTGACAAGTACCGGGAGAAAAGCGAAGCAAGGATGAGTAAGGTTAAGACACAGACAGAAGGGACAAGCACACAGAGTGGCCCCAGGGACAGGGGACTCAGAAGTGTGTCCAGGTACCCAAAGGATGTAGAGCAACCTGAATGAAGAGAGCAACGGAGAGAGAAGGAGGTGGTGTCAGAGGGCTAATGTACAGAAGTCCAGACAGAATACAGCCCTATGAGCCAGTGACCATATATAATTTATCATCCACACTGGGAGACTTCATTTGTTTTCAAACCTGGTTCTTCCTATGCTGCCCAGGCTAGACTCAAATTTCTGGGCTCAAATGATCTTCCTGCCTCAGCCTCCCAAGTGGCCCGACTGGAGATATGCTCCAACCTGCTGAGCTACACTGGGAGACTCTGAGAGTGAATGGTGGGAGAAGGGCTATGGATAATTACACTAGGTCAATAAATATAAATTGGGACCGTCCTGGACCAAGTGTAACAGATAATCTTCCTACGTACTGGCTGTCTGTTTGTATGTTTCTGAGACAGGGTCTCACTATTCATTCAGGCTGACCTTCAACTCCCTATGTGGCCCAGGCCGGCCTTGAACTCATGACAATCCCCCTGCCTCGGCCTCCCTTGGCTTGGGATTCCAGGCGTGTGCCAGCACACCTGGCAGACCTCGTGCTTTTAAATATCTAAGGTAGGGAGCTGTTGGAAGTTTCTGAGCAGAAAAGCAACGTGATCTGATTGAGATTGCTCTGCTATGCTGACAGTAGGTCAAAGGGGAGCAGGGGAAGAATGAACAAGAAGGAACCTGTTAGGAAGCCAGCAGAACCCAGCCAAGAAACCAGAGTCCAGCTGCGTTGGAATTCTGGCCGAAGATGTATGGGCAAGTTGGATTTGGGCTGTGAGGAGAAAGAACAGAACAAACAAATAAAAAAAGGGGAGTTGCCACTTACTGAGACGGAGAGGACTTTAGACAGAAATTCGGAGAGGCGATTAAGCACAAGGCAAATTTGGACTGTTCAATTGGAGACGTGTATTATGTACACGGGGGAGGATATAATGAGTACGCAGTCTGTGAGCTTGGGGTCCGACTCCGTTTTTATGTGGCGGCTGTCAATGTGGAGGAGAAACTTAAAACCATGAGACTGGTATTGAATAGAGGAAGAGAACCAAACACTAAGTTCTGAGCACTCCAGTGGTAAGGAGTTTGGAGACAAGAAAGAAAGGACAGAAGACGGGAAAGGAACAGCTATCGAGGGGAAAGGGAAACCAAGCAAGTGTGGGGTCCGAGAAAGCATTTCATGGAAGACAGAGAACTGAATTTGTCAAACGCCTGGAGGACTCAGAGGAGGACCGGAATACTCATTAAACTCAGAAACATGCACGTCACTGGGGAACCAGAGAAAACTTTTCTAGTGAAAGGTGGGGGCTAAAGCCTGTTTGTGGTGGGTTCCAGAGAAAACTAGAAGGCAAAAAATTGGAAGTAGCAAGCACAAAGCCATCTTTCGAGAAGTCTCGCTGGAATGGGACAGCGAGAACCAAGGGACCAGCAGCCGGGTCGAGAGAACTTTTCAGGGCTGTGGAGGAGCAGCCCTCCTGCCTGCTGAACAAGGAGGATCTCCAGCGAGGGAGAAGCCAGAGGCCGGACAAGGGCTGGAGAGCCCGGGAGCAGGCCCTGCAGTGCGTCGGCGCTGGGAGAAGGGCCTGGGAAGACCACAGGGGCCTCTGAGGGAGGAGCAGTGGCTGAGCGGAAAGACGGGAACAGACGCTCAGGGGCCGGGGTGACAGGGGCTTCTGGGTGCTCTTTCCCCTTCCTCCTCCTAGTTTCTAACGCAGCAGGAAGCAAAAGCCCTCAAGCGGGGGAGTGTGGGACAGGAGGTGCTGTGCTTGTGAGGAAAAGGTCACCCCGAACGACAGGGGAACGGGACAGGGATCTCGGGTCCTCTGGGAGTTACCGATGGTGAATGTGAAGCTGGTCACCAGGGTTGTGTAATTTTTTTCCAGTTTTACTCAGGGGGCAGGCGGAAGTGAAAAGGTGTGTGTGGTGGGTAGGAGTGAACCAGAGTCGTCCCTCTTTAATGTTTAGAAAAACTTGAAGAGCACTTAATGTTTAGGTGCATAAACATTAAAATGTCTACCCATTAAACATAACATTGCCAAGCTGGGTGTGGCGGCGCACACCTGTAGTCCTAGTACTGGGGAGGCTGAGGCAGGAGGATCAAGGTGAGTTTGAGGCCAGAATGGAACTACATGATAAGTCCAAGGTCAGCCTGAACTGCATAGCGACACCCTGTCTCAACCCCCGCCCCCAAAAAACCTCCCAAAAAACATTTCCACCAGTTAGAGCTATATTTTAGTGAAGATAAATATCCAACGGCTATTACCACGAAAGCACTATGGTGAACAGTCCTAGGGAGGAGGGAAGATGCGCGACACAGGTGCCTGGCCTCCCACAGCTGAGAGCAGCGTACAAGGACAGCTGAGCAAGGCGACAAGCGCCAGAAGAGCCTGGCTGGTGGGAGGAGTGAGGACAGCTCTCTAGGAGGCCGGCAGACTGGTGGGGAGACACCTAGACCAGCTGCAGGCCAGGCAGCCGAGGACACACCTGCACTGCCCTCCTCCGAGCATGAATTATTCTAGGATATCCTGCAGGGATCAAAGCAACAATGAAAAATGAGAAACAGCGTGTCAGCGTCTAAGACAGAAAATGTGAACAACATCGGGAAAATATCCAGAGTGAACCAGTGGGGTGGAGCCGCGTGTCGAGATTATGCAGCGATAATCGCTTTTAGGAGAGGTGCCAATCACAAGCAGCAGGTCCAAAGTAGTGGCTGCCCGGCCCGCGGGCAGGCTACATCTCTGGATACGACTGAGGATGAGTCCCTTACCACAGAGCTGCTCTCCAGAGGCCACTGCAGGACAGCACGCAGCTCTAGGCCAGCAGGAGTGGCGGAGCTAAGTGATCTCAGGGGCCGAGCGCAGACCGAGACGCAGCCCCAGCCTCCTGAGCTCGCGGCAATGTATGATCCGCTTTGCAGCCGCCACCTTTGCCTCAGTCGCCGCTCAGTCGCCGCTCAGTCGCGGCTCTGAGGTTCTGCCCGTGCAGAGGATGCAGGGGGATGAGGTGCGGAGGAAGGCCTGTGCCCGGGAAAGGAACAGTTTTAGACTTTCGCTGCCTTCTTTCTCCGCAATCACCCCTCCGGCTGTTGGGCACGCAAGCATTCTCTACCTATCCAACTGGTTTGTCCAGTTTTCCTGATTTTCTTTTTACCGGCAAAATGTATCATATTGTGAGTCAGTTTAGGGAAACAGAAGGCTTTGTCACATGCTCTTAAAAAAAAAAAAATCATAGCAGACAGGGACCGTTCAATAGTCTGCGAGGCATAACAGCTGCAACTGTAGCCAGATCACCTGTGGCCCCTTCTTGAAGGCAGATAGGCTGTGGGACCTACTATTGATCTCTTGCTGCATTTCACTAGCAAAATACTATTTATATCCACCATTGTGATATAATAAGAATATATTTGATTTTCATCCCTGGTTCTTATCCTAGAGCTCCTAAACCCCCTGGAATGTCCTGACTAGAAAGGAGTTCTTTTGTTATTCATCATAAACTCCTTTGATAATTTTATACTAATTACTTATGGTGTGGCCTCCGGAAGGGACCCATCACCAGACCAAGGGACAGGAGAAAAGGACTGGAACTCTGGGTTCACCCACTGACCTCTGGGACGGGGACGCTGGACAGCAAGCTCTGCAAAGCTCTTGACAGAGACCTGACGAGGTTTTGGGATAAAGTGAGCAAGGAGCACATCCTTCTGCAGGTCTGTTGGGCTGTTCATCTGCATCCTGCTTAACAGACCGGCAAGTGTGTTTCCCTGAATTCTGCGAGTCATCCTAGCCAGTATGACTGGGAGGTCCTGGGGGTCATGGGAGCCCTGGCCTTATTGGTCAGACATATGGTGGCCTGGACTTGCAGCTGGCATCAAAAGTGGGGCTGTCTTATGGGACTGAGCCCTTGATCCTATGGGCTCTGACACTCTCCAGGCAGCTAGCGTCAGAATTGAAGTCTTCATTTAGAACAGGCATCTTCTGGAGAACTGTGTGACATGTGGGGGGACAACCACCTCCCACCTCTGTCAGAGAAATACTTTGTATTAGTGTGACGATAGAGGGAAAAGCCTTTTTTCTAACATCCATCCCTTCTTCTCAAAGGAGGGCTGAGACTTAGCTCGGTGGCACCATGCCTGCCTGGCAAGTGCAAGGTCCTGAGTTTGATTCAGAGTATAAAAAGAAAATTAATGTTCAAAAGAGGATGTGACATTTTCTGGATGTGAATACTGTACACAGTGGTCCCACAGAATCCCTGGGAGATTAGTTCTAGGACCCCCCTTGGAAACCACGACAGTCCATCATATGAAATGGTGTGGCATTTGCATATAAACTACACATTTCCTCCTGTACACTTTAAACCAAGTCCAGACGACTTATAATGCCTGAGACAATGTAAGTGTACTTGGGTAGCCATTATACTGTATTGCTTAGGGGATAATTACACTAAAAGTCTGTACCCGTTCAATACAGACACAGCCATCTTAGGTTTAACTGTGTAGTAGTAAGTCAGCAACTGTTGGCTGAGTTTAAGGATTCGGACCCTGTACACTGTATAATCCTCTTTCACATGTACACATCTACAATACTCCTACACACCGCGGTGTTGCACCTGTGTTGAAGCAATGACCTTTTTATTTGGATGGTGTTGGTGTGTTGGGAAAAGAATGTTACTCTATAAGGATTTTGCCAGTTCTTGACTAACATGTTTTCAAGAAATCTTACAAACACATTTCATAGAATTAAGTAGTAAGGAGGACTCTCTGGAAATGTTTGTTTTCAAAAATAAGGGGGCTATCTGGAAAGAGTGGTCCAGAGTTTACTAGACGACAGGCACTTCTCTCTCTGTGGCAAGGTCTGCTTTAGTGTTACTTGTTACTGTAGTCCGTTTCAGCAGGAAAGGCTTTGGTTTCTTCAGGGAGTCTTAGGCATTTGTGTTTTTCAGCTTGCCAAATGCAGAACAAATTTTATCAGAATGCAGTTATTAGAACCTTGGGACTTTCTTCTCTCTCTGTTGAGTCTTTTGATTTTTTCCCAGATCTGAACCTGAAAACACAATTACTGCTAAAGAAAGGGAAATATTCAAGATTCTTCTCAAAGAGCCACACTGAGAAACATTTGTCCAAACAAGAAACAAGTAATTATTTGAAATCTAATTGAAGACCCTCATGAGTATAGATCCACTATTCCACAATTTTGAATATCTGGGATCATTTTCTTAACTAAATACAAAACCCAGAATTTAAACTCATTCACAGTTAAAGTTGATACTGAAGGAGTAACAGTGATACCTCTACTGTCAAACTCAGTTCATTCCAAATCATGTTCAAAAAGAAAAGTTCAAGAACTGGACAGACATATTTTTCCCAATAAAAAAATAATGGAAATCCAAATAATTGGTTCTAAGGCCCCAAAATTATACTTATAAATCTATTTTTCCAGGACTTCAAATTTCATAATTTCTTTCTTTCTTTAACTCCATTGTGGTTCTCAAAGTTTTCCTGCTTTGAGGAAAACTTTTAGCTTTACTGCAGGTATCACTTTCTTTGGATCCATGGTTATCATATTTTATGCACATAAAGTGTAAAAGAAGGCTGGGTGTGGTGACACAGGCCTGTAATCCCAGCACTGGGGAGGTTGAGGCAGGAGGATCACTGTGAATTCAAGGCCATCCTGGGCTACACAGTAAGATCCTGTCTCAAAAAAAAGATGAATGTTTTAACCACTAACACAAGCACTATGTGTTGTCTGGGTGAGAGTGGTGCTTGGACTAAGGTTCTCTCCTTTGTGTCTGTGGCCCTGCACAGGTTTTTTTCAAATTGGACTTTTGGTTTGACTGTCAGCAAAGTTATGAACACTGGACAGATTTTTTTTCAACTTTGCTGTTTGAGCAGAGAAAAGTTCGAGCTTGGAGCCTTTTGACAACCGAGGTATCACTGTATATCATTAGCAGAAAATATAAAAAATGGGTACCTTTTGTTGTACAACTTTTGTCAGGAATCAAATTCATGTATGCATACAAATAGCCTGATTACAGCCAGACACTGCAAACCCTACTTTTATGACCTCAAACTAACCATGTAAAATAGTCCCATATAATAGATGGGAACACTGAGGTTTAAGAAAATGTAAACGTTTTCCCTGAATTAAACAGTGCATGGGGGGTATTAAGCCAGGTAGATTCACCTTAGAATCTCAGTTTCTCCATATTACTAATTTTCATGGTCGTTGTTTTTGTGGAACTATGACTAGAACCCAGGGCTTTGTGTGTGCCCCACAAGCACTCCGCCACTAAGGAGTGCACCCAGCTCCCTCCAGGGACAGACCCAGACTCGGAATCTCCGTCGGCTGCTCCCTGTGTCCTTTGTCACACACTGCTCTGAGTAAGAGAAGTGTTTTCCTAAGGTCTGAGAAGCGTTCTTAGCAAATCACTGAACACGAGGAGGGGCTATGGAAAAGCAGACTTTCCAGCCGGGTCACACAGAAGTGTGGGGCGCCTGCTCGGCGTGTGAGGCAAGGGAAGTACTGGGGGCTGAGCTCTTGAGCCTGTGCAGCCTGATGCTAAATCCAAGTGGGGTCCGGAATGAACTGAGCTGTAGGGTACCCAAAAGGGTCAGAGTTGGCTCGTGTCAAAAAGAACTCCCCCGTACCACCTTGTAGTATGGAAACCAATATTGTATTTTAATTTGCATTTCTTTACTGGTGTGAAGTAATTCTTCACATGCATATTGGAAATTTAACTCTCCTCTTGTATAAACTGCCTGTTTATGTCCTTAACCAGTTTTCCTATTGCGTTGTCTTTTTTTCCCACTGATTACTAAGAGCCTTTTGTATATTAGCCGCGTTAGCCCGCATTTGTATTTTGTGTTGCAAATATTTTTCCACGTCTTATTGACTTTTGTCTTATGGTTCATTTTTGCTTTTAAGAAACTGTATGATTAGGTAACTAGGTATACCAATCTTTTCCTTTACGGCTCTTTCATTTTGACAATATTCTCTGAAAGACGGGCTCTCTTTAGGTTTTCCTGGTTGTAAGTGTAGCTCAGCGGGGACCACCTGGCTACCATGCAAATTCCCAGGGCTGCACCCCAGCACCACAAAAATATTAAAATATAAAAGTATGTTCTCTTCATGTACATTTATGATTTATACTTTAAACTTATTTGTTTTACCTTTCTGACTTTAATCTAGATATACTTGATAGGATTCAATATTCTTATTTCCCTTTAAAAAATTTTTTTTCTCTCATTGAGTTTATTGGTACATTTTAGGTATACAGTCTTATTTCCTTAAAATGTCTGTTTCAACAGCTTTTACTGAATAATCTAACTCCTCCTATTTTGAATTGCTACTTTTTATCACATACTGAATTATTATAATTTCTTGGGTTTTATCTTGAACTGTAGTCTACACCATTAAACACTAAGTTTTTATCCATTACTTTACTTGCTTAACAAATACTTTGTCATCTGACAGACCTGGTCTCTATTTAACATTCTTCTTCTTCAGAACCCCCTCTTTTCTTTTTTTCAGTACTGGAGATTGAAGCCGGGGACTTGCACATGCCAGGCAAACACTCTACAGCTGAGCTACATCCCCAGCCCACTGTATTCTGAGATAGGATCTCAAAAAGTTGCCCAGGCTGCTTAGCTATTCTTTCATGTTTCTTCTTCGTTTGTTTGTTTCATTTTGTTTTTGGTACCAGGGATCAAACTCGGGCCCTTGCACTTGCAAGGCAGGTGGCGAAACCACTGAGCCAAATCCCTGGCCCTTACCGTGCTTATTCTTTAAGTTAATTTAAGTTCCACTTACCCTTTCACTTTCTGCATCTGTTCCAAGGTCTCTGGTAGAGTCACTCCAAAGCTTTCAGGGAAGAAAAGGGTGACAATTCCAATGAAGACAGTCAGACTGCCCATGACAATGTAGGGCAGAAGTCTGTTGTAAGCACCTGCAAACCACCAAACATAAGCACACTGGTTAGACCCAGGCATTCCCCGGACATTCATTTTTTTTTTTTGGTACCGGGGATCGAACTTGGGTCCTTGTGCTTGCAAGGCAGGCGGCGGAACCACCGAGCTAAATCCCCGGCCCTCCCTGGACATTCTTGAGAATCATTTCGTAAAGATGGCAAACAGTATAGGAGAGCAGTTTCAAGTTGGAACATATTCAGAAGCAAAATATTACAATTTCTTCTGGGCAGATGTCCTTGACTGAAATTTCATAATCTTACTAACTGATTTGCATTATCATAAGGTCCTTGTATTCTTTCTGGTCAACAGGCATCTTAGTCACGTGAGTGCGACAGACGTCCCTTTGACAGAAGTCTTTGCCTAGCAGCATTCTTTTTTAAGGTGGAGTTAACTGGAGGCAGGGGGCATCAAGTGGCAAGAGGCTGAGTACGCTGTTTCAGTGACAGGTTGTGGCCGCTACAATTCTAGTGTCTCTTTGCTTTTGCCTGAGCCCATGGCTACAGTGGAAAGCAAGGTCTGCAGAGTCCTGAGACTCCTAAAATCTAAGTAATATGTTCAATCCAATTTAAAGCAATAAATGAAAAGTGTCAGACAGGCTATGTCAAAGAACTGTGCCTGGAATTAGTTTCTCTACTTTATTAGGACAAGTTTGCAGTTCATGCAGTGTACAGTCAGCTTGGGGAGCGGTTACGTGAACATACTACAGCTTGTTCTTTTCAGTCCAGTTTGTACTTGTACTTTTTGTACTTGTCGATACTACGTGTTAGCTCATGTTACACTGTCTAATGTTTACCTTGATTGGGATTAGTGAGTTCCTGCACAGGGCACATCTTTATTCCTTCATTTCCCTTCTCTCTTCCTCCTCACCCTTCACTCTTGTTCCCTTGGATCACTTATCTATGGCAAGAGATCCATTCCCTTGTACCTTTCTAGCCATCCTTTATCACTCTCTGTGCTCTGTCTTACTCCAATGAGAGATCTCACTTGGTATCTAAGCTTGTGTGTTGGGTTCATTTCACTCAACATTTTATTTTCCAGCGGCAGCCATTTTCCTACCAACGTCTCAAGTGCGTCATTCTTTATAGCTGAGTATTGGGAATTCGTCTCTTTTTGCAGCATTTACACATCTTCATGGGTATGTAACTGGAAGAGTCATTCCACTGCTTCTCTATTGTGGAACTACTTAGGGGAATAACAGATCCCCATCTTCCTCCCTTTTTGCACACATAGAGTATAGAGGGAAAATACATCCATACACAGTATTCTATCTGGCCCAAAACACAAGAAAAAACATTGATCTGAGGCATTTCTGAGACTTGTGTTGCTAACCAGACTAGCTTTTGAGGTGTGGCTCTGGGGCTCCCCCAACTGGACTATCCGAATATAGTTAAAAAATATAAGGAAGCACGTAGAAGGGAACACTCCTTACACTGTAATACAGTATAATATTATTGTTCGGAGCAGCTGTGCACAGTAGGTTTATATTAGGAATGTATTTCTCTGTAAGGATTTAGCATGCATCTTTTATGAGAATTTACATGTCTTTGGAGTGTGTGTGTTTGAACCAGTAATTAACCAACAGATGATTAGAAGAACGGAGTGGGGGGGCCTGCGTTTCTCACCAATGGGGTCCCTGGTAGGGAGGAGACGTGGAATGCTGGGTCCTACCCCCACCAAACATCTTGGGAAAGCCTCTCTGTGCTATTATTCCAGATCGATACATTTGATTGTATAAAAACTAAACGTTTTTGCATTGCAGAAAATAATAAAGTCAGGGCTGGGATTTAGCTCAGTGGTTCTGCCACCTGCCTTGTAAGCACAAGGTCCCGAGTTCAATCTCTGGTACAAAAAAAAAAAAAAATCATAAAATCAAAATGCAAGAGACAAACTAGGAAAATTATTTACAACATAGACACAGAGGCTTTCTTTCCTTCCATTGCAAAGAACTCACACAAATCCAAAAGAAAACGATGAAAAGACCACTAGAAGAATGGGCCGTGAGCAGCGGGCTAAGGAATCTATGAAAACATACCCAGTGACATTTATAATGAAGGAAACAAAAGCAAAGGCAACAGGGCTGTGCATTTTTCATAGGACAGATTAAATATGACTATTTCAACATTGGCTAGATCCCATTGATGGTAAGGGTATGGGGAAACAACCACTCTCATCTACTGATAGCTGGATGGAAAATTGGCACAATACTTACAGTTCAATTTGGCACTATTTATGAAATTGTAAAAAGGCATTCTCTGTTGCAGAAATTTCACTTCTTTGAATCGATCTATGAATCCAAATATATGTAAAGAAATGCATGAAGGGTGTAGTGGCACAGGGAAACGTGGGTTGCAAAGTTACAGTACTTGTACAGATTGAACATTCTATATCCAAAATGCCTGGAGCCAGAAGTGTTTTCAATTTCACAGCTTTTTGGGTTTTGGAGTATTTGCATAGACTTTACCACATGAGCATTCATAATCTGAAAATCTGAAACCAGAATGTTCCAAAATCTGAACACCAACCTTCAAAAAGTTCCAGATTTTCAGATTAGGGTCATTTAACCTGTAATAGCAAAAACGTGGAAATGGTCTAACCGTCCATTCACTGGAAACTGGCTAAATAAATTATGCATATACAGGTATTGGAAGTCTATGTACTTACTAAAAACAGAACAAAAGAGTCTTAGAAACGATATTCTGGTAACAGTGTTAAGTTTTAAACAGGTACAAGCAATGTGTATAATTTTATTTGCCACAAGGAAATGTCTGAAGGGCAATTCACCAAACTCTTAGAATTGGCTTAGGTGATTTGGGGAAGTGGGGCAGAGTGGTGAACTTGGACTTTCTCCAGTATTTCCTAGGAGGTTTGAATTTTTCACCATGAAAATCTACTACCTTCATAACGAAAACTGATTTACAGGGAGAACATGGATGGATGCACCTCACCAAGGTAGACGAAGTAGGGAGCGATGATGCTGCCCACCCTGGAGGCCATGGAGGCAATGCCCACAGCCATGTTCCTGACCAGCGTCGGGTAGAGCTCTGCGGTGAAGACGTACAACATGGAGAAGGCTGCGGTGACCCCAAATTTCCCCAACATCACCAGGCCAATGGACAAGAAGTTGTAATCTAGAAAAGAGATCCACTGTATTCAGGCATGCCTTGAAGAGCGATTATAACTCCTTTTGCTTTGATGGGGAGTTTTCATTAGCATAAAGTATTCCCACAATAAGGTTTTCTCTTCAAATGGCCTGACCATTGGACTTGGGCAGGGATGGAGAGCATGGCTGGCTCTGTACTCTGTCCTCCTGTTATTCTAGAACATTAATGTATCCGCTGACCTTCGCCCATTTGTTTTTTATGTGTTCTAACAGTTTCTTGGGAAGTTGTTAACATATTAATATAGCTAAATTTAATCTTTAAAGACAGGCCAATCATTTTAACACTCTTCTTTATCATTAAGAAGTATGTTTCTATGTATATTATTGTGTATATTGACTTTTTGACTTAACATTTTAATATTATAAGAAAGACAAAGAGGAAAATGGACATTTAAGTTCCTTTGTGTGCTAATTAACTACTTAAAGATTCACACCACAAAAATCACCAAATTTATTCCAGAACCACCAGACACTACCAATGTTAATACCTGAATATACACTGCAGAGAAAAGATTTGAAAGTACCAAGAAATTTGGGAACACGAGTATGACTCAGAGAGGGGTCCAAGAGTTTATGGTGAAGAAGATAACCAGGAAACTTACTCTCCTTGTGTGGTTGGTGATTTCTTATTCCCAAAGCCACTTCTTCCATTTGAGAGGAGCTGTTTCCAACACAGGAAACTCCAAAGTTAGCTCTCACCTCTCTTAACTGGCCTACGACCGGCTTATGACGTACAGGCAGCGTCACCAAAGAGCAGAGATGGCAAGTAGCCCTCCGAGGCGCGGGTTCCAGGCAACTGCTTACCTGCAGGTACCAGCTGAATTAAGAGGAGCACGCCTCCTCCAAAGCAGAGGACGCCTGCGATGATGTAACGCCTGGGCAGCTTGCGCAGTAAGAGCCAGGCCAGGACATAAGCTGGAACTTCAATCAAGGCAGAGAGGAAACAGTTCAAGTAGATGTCTCCATGTAAATTAGGGACATTGAGAGACAGAGCAAAGTAACCCACCGAGGTTAGCATCCTGAAAGATAAAAACAGAAGACAAACATGGAGACCGCATAGCCCAACTCACTCCAAACTTTAGTGATCTATATCTTACTGTCCTCTAAGCAACCACTGGCTACAGGGAGCTATTTTTTTTTTTTTTTTTTTTTTTTTTTTTTTTTTTTTTTGGGT